TCATCTTTAGCAGTGCGTAGAAATCACTAATGAAGATCTAGGTAGCTTTCTTCACCTTAGAACCCAAGGAGTTAGGGTAGACACTTTAACCTCTAGAGCAAATTTTGACCGGTCAAAAATAAATCAAACTCTTAGAGGTGTTGCCCAAGTAAGTCATCTGTCCCATGTGTACATTCTTAATCAAAATGCTCAGATTATCCAATATGTCATAAGAACCTCTATCATTCCGAAAGCTGGTGATCGCATAAACTTTACTCCTCTTTTATTCGTTGTCACATACTTGATTATGACTGAAACTCCTTTTGATGAAGCCCAACTTATCATGGACTGCATTTACAATCTTTCTAATATTTGACTTCCTCATAATAAAAGGAAGAAAAATATGATTTTAGAACACTTAGTTACCTATATCTTAGAGAAAAAGTACAACCTAATCCATCCTGATCGACCCACTGAACTTCCTATTTTCATTACATATGCCTCTTTTTGGGCACTCTTTGGGTGGGATCAAAGTTTAGAGGGAGAAGAAGGTGCCTCATCTCCAGCACCAGCACTTGGACCTGACCAAAATTTCTACCAAGAAATGGTCCAGTGCTTTCACAGACTGGAAAATTATTTTGATCAGCACTTTAATCAAATTTAGAATCACTTGAATATGTAGGATGCTAGAAACAATGAGGACATGAGTTGGATCTGAGGGCAATTTGACTCGGTTAACACTAATGTAGCTACAATCAGTAGTAACTTTTTGAATATTCAACCCACCTAATCCTCCAGATCAAGGCCCCTCTGATTATTAGTTATACTTCTATGCTGTAGTTACTGATGAATTTATGTGTTTGTTATTGAGATGTTTTCCTGTTATTTCAGTGATTTCATGTGTTAGTGTTTTCACGTGTTATTTTTTGTATTTCTAGGATGATATTATTTGAGATGATGTTAAATAAAAAATGTGTTTGTATGTGTTCTTGAATGATAAATGAAATGATGGAATGTTGTGTTGATGTGCATTTAGGGATTGGTCATTCATTTAGGGGGAGCTTAGGAGAAAAAATATCTTAAGTGTAAACTCAAACAATAATTATTTTTCCACCATCAAAATAAGGGAGATTGTTGTGACTTAGTTTTCAAATCTATAGTTTTATATCATGTGAGTTTTTTATGATACCAAAATATTATTATGTTAATTATTACTTCTCCTAACACATATTAGAAAATTCTATTTTTTGTTGTTTATATGTTTTAATGTTTTTGGAAAATCATACTCCTAAATGTTGAAGACTTCAAGACAGATTATATTAGAGTTTCTTAGAATTGAAGTATGTACTTTTTCTTTTTCTTGAGTCTGTAAGAGTGTGATTGCATTTGAGTAACCGTGCACACACACTAGATGAGTGAGTCAAAACTTATATTTTTAAAACTAATCATACAGTACAATTATTGAATCATATTATACGTTTTGACCTGTGTGTTCTTCTAGAAAGAGTTAATCAAATCATGCCTTAAAATTTTTCTTGAACTATTCGTACTATACGAACATTGGTTTGTACAGACGATGTCTAGAATATGAAATGGATACGTACCGGTTTATCCCAAGTAAACTCACCATCTTTTGAACTGATCATACTGGACGATGTTAGATTCGTACAGACGACATCTATAGTATGAAATGGGTGTATACCAGTTCGTCCATACGAACATGGATATTTTTTGAAGTGTTTGTATTGTATAAAATTATTTTCGTGCAGACGACGTCCAAAGTACAAAATAGACTTGTCCATTTTTGTACCACAAGAAGCATGTTTTGATTAAACTGATCATATTATACAAAATAAAGCTTGAATAGTATGCCGATTAGTGTATGAAATGCATTTGTACAAAATCGTACCTGACGAACTTGTTCATTTTTGAACTGTTCGTATAGTATGATATCAGTTCATACATACGACTGATAGAGTATGAAATCAGTTCGTACAGGATCGTATGATGATTTTTTTTGAATTGTTAGTATGTATGAAGTACGATCGTACTATATGATCCCATACGGTCAAATTGAAAATTTTAGTTTTATGAATGTTTTTTCTTATCCTTTCTATATAAGGTCCTAAAAACTAACTACCTAGAGAATTCCTACTACAAATTCCTTTTGAGAATGCACTTGGAGAGAGTTTGGGAGAGTGTATTAGGATTGGAGAGTGAGAGATCTCTTAAGAGGGATTTCTGAGGGGATTCACAAGGTTACCCAATGGTGAGGATCTCTTGCTTGTTCTTCAAAGTACTTGCCTACTTTTTGGAAGACTCTTGAAAGAGGATTTTCAAAAGAATGCCGATACTCTGCCGACACTAGGAGGGTGTGAAAGGACTCCGGTACTCTGCCGACACTAAGAGGGTGTAAAAGGACGTTGGTTCTCTGCCATCACTAGGAAGGTGAGAAAGGCAACAGTACTCTACCACACCGGGGTTTGGTTGAGGAGAGGTTATTATAAGGGTTTCTTTGTCCTTCTATGGGAGCAAAAGGAGAGTCACTTTGGTATAGTGCAATACATGAAGAGTGAGTCTTCAAGGAGTCGACGTAGGTCTAGTTAGATTTAGGTCTAGTTAGATTGAAATACTATAAAATTATGCGTTCTTTTGTTTTTACTTTTTTACTGCATTTGTATTTTCTGCAAGTTTTATTTTTGTGGTTGAAAATTATTTTTGAGAAAATTTATCGTTGTGATTAAAAATCTAAAATCAGTTTTTTAATTTACCAAGAGAATTTTTTAAATAACCAATTTACCCCCATCTTGGTTAGCCTTGGGACAATTGCATTAGGTCCAACACCTATTCAAACTTTCAGTGACTTCCTCACCAATATAATGGTGATGAGTACCAGGGTGATATGCCCTTCATGGTGAGGAGTGGACCGATGATAAGGAGGAGGCAAAGCTTTAAGTAAGTCCTATTAACGTTTCTAGGGGGGGGGGGGGGGGGGGGGGGCGCATCCGACTTGGGGGGAGGGGGCACTTCCTACCAAAAGGAGTAGAATTGAGGTGGCAACACACAGTCATGCTATGGTGTTGGTTTTCTTAGAAGTCAATGGAATCTATAAGCACCAACAAAGTCAAAGGAAGTAGTTGCATATTCACCTGCAAAGATCATAAGGCACCTCCATCTGCTAAGAGAATGGCAATCAATGATGAGGCGGTAAAAAATAAGGTGGAGGAGATATGTTTCCCTAGTTAGTGGAATTAAAAAAATAAAAAATCCTAGTATAGGTGGCAAATGAGAAATAAGAGGAGGAAGTCTCTTCCCTTAACACATGGAGGAGGTAGGCTACTTGGGGATGGTGACCTCTATGCTTTTTAAAGGTGCTATGAACAAGGTCATTTCATTTGCTTGTAGTCTCTAAAGGAGTACTTGAAGCCATTTTACAAGATGAGCTCGGCTAGATAGCCATGAACATGTTGAGGAAATTATGGTAGTCCTCTTACACCTTAGCTTGAAACCACAAATGGGCTATGGTGGAGGTAACCAACCTCAAGAAGGCCTACAATACTATCTAGAGGTGCCTTGAGGACGAGTGGTTGATCAAACTCTCCGTGAAGGATAAGGTTGAGGAGTAATATAACCTGCTTGTCAAAAGAGAATATGATTTAAGGATGAAATTGCTGAATGAGCTATTGTAAAAAATAAGCGAAGTTTAAGATAAAGGACCCCGCTGAAGTAGGGATTGCCAATGAGTCAATCGAGATTAGAGAAATTGAATTTAATAAGAAATATTAAACATAATTATATTATTTATAATCAACTATTTTGAGAACCCTAAATTTTATTCAGAAGCAAAATAGTGGTATCTTCATTTTTTCCATCAAATATTCTTCTCTGATAATGCTTTGTAAAAAGATTCACATAAATTTATATCAAAATATCCGGTTAGCCGGCGCAATAATATGCTAAGAGTCACGACAAGCAAGAGTCGCGACAAGCATTGCTTAGCCATGCACGGCCATCTAAAGTAAGAAAGAAAGCATTACAATACAGCTAAAAAGACTAAATATGCTACAAGATAAAAAAAAATTGATATTCTAATCAAAATTTTTATTAGAATTAATTTTATAAATTTAAAATATATTTTAAAAGTAAAATATAAAATTTAGTCGGTTTATGACTTATATTAAAATTTTTTATTGTTTAAATTTTAAGGGATATCTTAAGGTTATTTGTTTATTTATTAAATACAAAAACATAATTAGTATTATAAGATTTAACACGTATTGATTTTTTCTTATTATTGAAAAGGCTCTAGCCAATTAGTTAATGAAGAATGTTATGTCACCAAGGTCACGGCTAGTCACATATTCTCAGATTTATCATTATTCTTTATAAAATATAATATAATATAATTTTTAATATTTAATGTTAATAATATACCTAATAATAAATATCAAGCTTTGAAAATCGGATTGGCCGATTCGACCAGTTCAACAATGAATCAGGCATGTGTCCGATTCGATACATATGAAAAATTGGTCGAACATCGAACTATTGGGAACCGGTTAGAACCGCCGGTTCTATTAATGAACTAGTCCCGATTTTTAAGAACCGGCAATTAGTTATATATTTTATATGTATACATTATATTTAAATATTTTACATAAATTAATGATAATTTATATTAAATTATATATAGTTAAATGTAAATTAAATTTATATTAAAACATAATAATAATAATAATATTATTTATTAGTATGAATCTCTTTTTTTTTGATTTATTGATTGAGTCGATTTTTACAACCTTAATAAATATATTCATTATTTTAAACTTTTTTTTTTCTGAATTAATATAACATAATTTTATAGTTAGAATTATAATATAAATATGTCGAATTTTCAAATACTCTTTTACTAAAAACTAAATCAAAATATCTTAATGATATTGTTTCCGTAAATTAAAAAAGATAGCCGGATAAAACCATCCTCCAGCCCATTGCCAGCCGTCCTCCAACAAGGACAATATTATTTATTTATTCGCCTAGAATGCCCCGCAATCCATCATTTTATATCAATATCTCCCCCTTTCTTCCTCCTGCATCTAGCTTTCTTTACCGTATTATTACTTAAACCAGTTCTCCCGTTTACTCCTTTGCAAAGAGTAAAATAACGAAAGAGAGAGATGGCAGATTGGGGTCCTGTTGTCATCGGCGTGGTGCTCTTCGTTCTATTGACGCCTGGACTTCTCTTCCAGCTTCCTGGAAATGGAAGGGTGATTGAATTCAACAGTATGAGGACGAGCGGTCTCTCCATATTTATTCATACCATTCTATTTTTTGCTCTTATAACGATATTTCTCATCGCTATAGGCGTCCATATCTACACTGGTTAGGAGTTATTCATATTCCTTAGATCTAATACATGTGGGAACTGTGCGTGAGAAATTTCGATGGAGGTGGAGAAAAGCTTTATTACTTCGTCAGACTGTTATGTTTTGGTGTGTCTTCTGTTTGTTTTTTGTGTAAGGTAGGGAGGTTTTATTGGTGCATATTATTATGTGAAATGGATTGAAATGTCCCCCTTTTAATAAAATTTTTATGATTTCATTTTTTTTCACTTATTAAGTTTTATTGACAAATAAAGAAGATGGCATGGTTCCCTCTTTGTTCAATTCCATATGGCATATCGTCTAGGTTCATTTATTTATTTATTTATTTATTTTCTTTTCGCACTGCAAATAATAATCAAATTATCTTTTACCTCGTCTAGGTTCATTTAAGTGTAATTTAAGATTGGTTTTAGGTCTCTGAAACAATTATTTAAGTTTCGAAATTATTTTTTGTGGATGGATAATACCGAATTATTTCATAGGTATTTAAATACTTGATATGTATGAAGTGATTCTCTTCATAGGTATTTAAATATTGAGCGTATACGAATTTTGAAGGGCAAAATACATCTAAGTGCGAAATCTGTAAAGGTCAGGTATGGACTTTCTACCCTTGTGAGGGTTCATCTAAATACTTTACTCTATTTACCAAAAGAAAAATAAAATACATTTCCCTATTGCACTTTTAGGAACTTTTATTTGGTCCGGTGGTGTAAGGATGCAGAGGAACATCCGGTTGTAGGTAAAATTCCGCCTATACGAGGTGTACCGAGTTTTTTCAAAAAACTCGGTACACCTCGATATAGACGGGAAGCCGTTTAGGAATCACATTTTATTTTTATATATTCATATATATTTTTATTGAATATCACCTAAATTGAGGTGATTGATGGCCGTGATAATAGGTTTGGGCAGGTGGCTAGATGATTTTAAACATCTAAAAGTCAATTTTAATATTTTATTTTATTTTTTTTAATTCAAATGTGCATAAGCAAATATAAAAATAAAATTGATCCCAAACGACTTCTATTTTAGTATAATAGTCTCCCAGTTAAGTACGCATCCTAGTTAAGAACGCAAAATTTAAACAAAAATATAGGGTTCAATGCCATGAATGATCATTTGATGTAAGTTTTGCAATTTCTTATGTCTAACATTGAGGGTGACCACATAAACATTTCTCTGAAAAAATTCAAATGATTTTCTAAAATCATCAAATGTATCTCCAGCTTCTTCTTGTACCTCAGGGTAGAACAATTGATTCACTCGAAGCCCTAAAATGCATCAATATTTGTTGTAGTAAAACTCAACTCTTATTGAGGATTCATATCATCATTATGCTCCATCTCATCAAATTTCATGGATTTCAAAATTTCTTCAACATCTTAAAAAACAACAACAACATATTCTCCACTGTTTTCATCATCGACATAAATGAAATCTTCCAATTCTGTAGGATCCATGGAAATATTTAAAATTTTCATGGCTTGTATAATATTGGTGTCAAATTGTCATCTTTATCACCAGCATCAGGATCTGCTTCTGATTTCTTTAGCTCTGCCTTGATAAAGGCATTTTTTATCGAGTTAGGCGCTAGTGAATCCCAGGCGACTTTCAGATAATTTATTGCATCAAGCAGACGTGTTAGATTTCCATAAGAAACCCCAGTTGCTCCTCGGCCTAACTGTTTCCCCTTCTCCTTATGATTCTTCGCCTCCTCAAGAAGTTCATAAAAATTTAGGGCATGCTTCAAATATTAATACTTGTATTGTTTCTTAATAGCAGCGCTTATTCCAATATTGCATGGTTATTTCCAACTGGTGCAATTTGGGGTAAAAATACTACCCAAATATTATCTGGTTCGAAAGCTTTGAAATGCCAAGGAGCATTGTCCAGCAATAACAAAACTTGACAGCTAGTACGTTTTTGCATAACCTCGACAACTCATGATTTTCCTTGTTGACTTATGCGCTCTCTCCATGGAACTTTTATTAGGTCCGGTGTAAGGACGTAGAGGAAACGTCCGGTCGGAGGAAAAATCCCGCCAAAAAATTCGGTATTTGCTCGGTATTGCTAGGTATTATTTGATAATAACGAGGAATACCGCTCTGTGAAGACCAATACCGAATTATACTTAGCTATACCGAGCAACACCGAGTTGTACAGAGTTTTTTCTAGGAAAAACTCAGTACAACTTTTGTATAACTCGGTATTGCTCAGTATAGCTCGGTATAACTAGGTATTGGATCTTCACGTGATGGTATTCCTCGTTATTGTTTGGTATTGATCGGTATTTGCTCGGTATTTCTCGTTTTTTGGCGCGATTTGGCCTCTGACCGGACATTCCTCTACGTCCGGTTAGAGGATGTAATAATTGTTCCTCTCCATGAAGGTGCATATTTTGCAAACGTCTACGTGCTCTGTATCGGCTCTAACCATTTCCATGATGCCTTAAAACCTGTTTCTAGAATTAAAAAAGTTGAGGTAATATTTTTCTCTTTGGCAATGGAGAGAGAGGGCGGTACTGGTAAATTAGCACGTTAGATACTATCAATCTATAGAAACAACATATCTTCAACCTCCATGAATCGACCAACACATGAATGAAATGTTTTTTCTTTATCTTCTTCAGGCATCATTGCAAACCGTTCAATGATCTTCTCTCTACTTTCCCACACCTTTTAGATGTAGCCTTCTCTCATTCCATACTCTCGCTCGAGAGCATGCTTACTTGGAGGATTTGTCTTGCTCAGCTTCGAGATGTTCTCACATCGTTGGGACTCATTCAATCATTTTCGATTTATTTTCTTTAACATTTTCCAAAATATTCTAGAGAGGTCGTGCCTAAATGGGGAGCATGCAAATAGGGCCTTCATTGAAAACTGGAGGTCGCAAACTATGTGAACTACCTTAAGTGCCTAAATGAGGAGCGAGCAAATGTGGAGCATACAAACAGGGCCTTTGATGAGAAGTGTAGGTTGCGAACTTCGTGAACTGCATTCGGTACTTGAATGTGGTCAGATGTGTTCGGATGTTTGCTCGGACTTTACTTCTCATTGGAGCATACGAACAAGGTTGTAAGCTAGAGGTCGCTAACGGAGCCTTTGGTGCAAACTGGAGGTCATGAACTGCATGCGTTGTAAATTGGATGTTGTGAACAGAAATGAAAGCCTAAGTACACCTACTGGTTAGGTACTCAAAAAAATTTTGGGTTCAAATTGCATACCTAACTGGGAGGCAACTATAAGCCATAGTCTATATCACATTAACGTGGGTGATTTGTCTTTTGCTTGAATAATATAAAATTTCAATAATATTTGTGAAGAATACTTAATAATTTAAAATTCTCAAACAAAATTAAAAAAATAATGAAAGTTCGAGGAGGTTGTGAGATCAAAAAAAATCTTTCGATCAAAATACAATCTTAAAACAAAAACTATGATTCACCACATAAATCAAAGTACAGAAAATAAATGCTGAAGCAGTAATAAAGAACATAGAGATTTATAGTGGTTCGGTCAACACGACCTATGTCAACTCCCCGGAGGGACCTCCGAGTATTGCACTAAACTCAGTATCTCTCCTTTTGCCCCCACAGCAAGGAGAAGAAGCCTATACAAACCTCCTTTCCACTAACCCAGGTGAGGTAGAGAACCCAACTCCTTTTGCTTCCTCCTGAAGCAGGCAGAGAACCTTGATCAGATATAAAGTTTGCCTCTTTAGAACCTCGAAGGATCTAGGGATGACGACTGGAGAAGAGGATGAAGGATCCATGCTTGGAGTAACCTTTGTGAACTCCCTCACAAACTCCCCCTCATAAGATCCTCTCTCTCTCTCCCTTGCTCTCCCTCTCCTCTTGGTTCGCTCAGGTCAAAGCAGCAGCAAATGATGTTCTAAATGGTAGAATAAGAGCTCTTAAATAGAAGAGCTTCAGAATTGCTCTTATTTTATACAAACTGAATTTATCGTCCAGGACGATATGGATATCTTCCTGGCCGATCAACGTAAATTTTGCTCAATCAGCCCGGTTGGTTTGGGAGGTTTAGAAGATTTTTAGTTATATCATCCAGGCTGACACAATATCATCCTGGATGATCAGTACAAATCCTTGATTATCATCCAGATAATTGCTCTGAAAGGATATATGGATAATAAAAAAATAGCTTGATCGTTTAGGCTGATCTCACGATCGTCATGGCAGATTAGTTCAAATTCGAGGAAAATCATCCTAAACATCGCCCTGAATAGAAGCTGGCCGATGTCAATCATCCAAGAGGTCATCCCGGACGATGTGATCGAGCAATCAAACCTTAATTGCTTTCATTAATTACCAAATTATTTTAGGAATAATTATGTTCATCATCCAGGATGATGTCTAAAAATAAAGAATACCTAAATAGACCTGCCAGCTGATTCTTTCTGATTTGAGCCTATCATCTCGGCTGATACAAAGATTGTCCAAGATGACGTGCTTAATAACGACTGCCTTAACCAGAATGTTCTAATTAGGATTTCTATTTTTAGCTAACCGTCCAAGACAATTTTAGGATCGTCCTAAATAATATGATCAAAATAGAAAACTCTAATCAACAGACAGAAATTTTCTCCCATGTGTGTGTGCAAGGTTACTTAGTATCAGGAATCACTCCATTTATAATAGACTCAAGAAAGAAAAATTACAAACTAACTCAGACCTAATCTGCCAGATCTTGAGCTGGCTTGAGTTGCACTCGATCTTGTGGACCTAAAAAGTTAGTAGGCAAGGCAGGCATAGAAAATCATGAATGTTTACTATCATCAAAATTCTAATCCATGAAATTAGATTTGTAATAATGTCTTCCTTTTTGATGATGACAAACAAAAAAATAATCTAAACAGTTTAAGAACAGTTTAAAAGAAACAGTGAGAAGAAACAAACATAGTTTTAATTATCCAATAATAGAATCAAATTACAAAGTAACCAGTATAACTAACTACTCCCCCTTTTGACATCACAAAAAGGAGGAGGAAAGTAAAATAAAAATAAAGGCAGAGACTAAAAACAGAAACAAAAATGAAAAAAGACAAGACCTAAAGCAAAAGAAAGGTTTTTTTTTAAAATCAAAGCTTAAATATGATAAGTTTTCCATATGATTGAATTAAAAATTTGTAAGAATCAATGAGTTAAAATCATCAAAATTCGATGGTATAACAACCGATCCTATTAGCCTTAACTCTAACTTCTCCT